AATTCTCGGACTTCGAAAGATCCTTCGAAGGCATTTTCCAGAATGTCCCAAGCTTCCTTAGCAACCTTGCAATTGGATATTAGCTTCCCCTGATTTTTCTCCACGGCGTTGAAGATCGAAAAGATGGCCTTCGAGTTTGCTATTCCAACAGCTTTTTCGTTCAATGTCCATTCTCTCTTCGGCTTTTTCACAAGAGCGGTAACACCATCCTTCATCTTCGATGGTTTTCATGGGATGAGACCATGCAAACTCAATAGCATCAACAACATCTTCACCTTCAGACATCAAAAAAGCTTCCATTTTATTCTCCAATTTTGATAATTTGTTCCATCGAACAATGGAGGTCTTGAAGTTGAACGTCCTTTCTTGCTCATGTCTGCAACTGTGAACCGATCTACTCAACGATTTAGAGAACACTACTATGATACCAATTATTGGGAAGTGATGTATCGAACAAATCTCCTTCGAACACCAACAAAGGGCCAACTCCCGAAGCGTGGATGGTTCACAGTTAAAACAACGCCTTAACAACAAATAACAAAGCAGAACACAAGACAATACATGAAACAAGGTGTTTGTCAACTCGGTTCGGTTATCAACCAATTTACATCCGGAGGATATCAATCCAGTAGTAGTTCCACTAATCAGTGTTGATTAAGGACAAAGACAACCACAATTCATTCAACCCTAATGCTAAGTACTTTCTTTGTAGCTTTCTAATGTTCCATTTCAAGATTACTTTAGATATTGTCCTAGCATTCCAACAACAAAAATGATGTCTGATCGGGGCATAAGGAATGTACTTCATTCCTTATCTTTCCAAATAATTTTTAACACTTTGCATTTCATTAAATTTGTCCCTCTTTTGAATTGGAACAATTTCAGGTGAACATTTATCCATTTCAATCTCTTTAAAATTTTAGTAATATGCGCCTTTTGAGATAACCTAATAAGTTTTGAGATCTATTACAGAATATTTCTATGCTTCACCCATATTTTTAATTTAAAATTTTCTTGAAAGAAATTTTTTAACATCATGCAAGATTGTTATATTATTAGCAGCAACTAAAATGTCATTAACATATAGGACTGAAACAATAAATTTGCTCTCACTGATCATATATATACACTGGTTGATTCATGTAAACCTTCTCTTTTTAAGTTACCATTCAAAAAGAGACTTTAAACATCCATTTGGTTTAATTTAAATTCATAATGAGCCATAAAGCTATGATTAAAGAATCTTTTTTTCGAAATAAGAGGAAAAGTTTATTTTTATTAGTGTCATCCCTTTGAGAGTAACTCTTGACAACTAGTTTAGCCTTATATTTTTCAATACTATTTTTTTTTCATCTAATTTTGTTTAAAAGCCCATTTCCAGCCAATTCGCTTAGCCCTCTGGCTAACTCAACCAATTCACAAAAATGTCATGTATATTCATAATCTATTGAGCAATGAGAATTAAAATTGCAAATTTATAATATATAATACTAAAATGGAAGCAGTAAAATACATACATATAGGGTGTGTTTGTCTGGGGTTTGGATTTTGAGTTGGAATTTGAATAGTAAAAATTTTGAATTTGAATAGTTGTATGATGTGATATAAATAGGTGTTGATATGATGTTTTGAATGTAAAATTGATTTTTAGTATAATATAAAAAATGAAAAATAGGTGTTTGATTTGATGTTTTTTGGGGGAAAAAATTGGATGAATAGTGTAAACCCAATTCAATCCTCCAAACAAACACACCAGCAAATTTATGATCCTAATTAAATTACGGTGGCAATAAAACACATAACTAAGATGATAGTTACGTAACTAAAATTGTAATTTCTCCAATGGAATCAAGTAGAGGAGAGAAACCAAAGTAACCATTATTATTATTATTATTATTATTATTATTATTATTATTTGTTTTGGGGGTAATCCATTAATATTCGACATTGTAGTTAAGGTGTGATAGGAATCGTAATCAGAATTGTAGGAATTAGTTAAGCATGCAGTTGTGTTAGATGCGTTGGGATTTATTCATTTGATTCATGTATAATTTGTGTCAGGAGAACCACTACGTCTTTAATTTGAATGTGCTAATTAAATAAACAAATAGATTATTTGGCTCGACAGATTTTCTATCATACAAGAACCAATAAAAATTGTGTCATAATTGATAGTTTATAATTTCTGAATCAGATAATTATAAACCCTAATTATCAGATACTTAGTATACTTAATTGTTTTTCATTATTTACGATGAGATACAACAGTCACTGTGGGGAATTTTAAAAATACTTACAAGAAATTCCATGGCGTGTTTGCATATGGTTAGGCATTTGGTTTGGAGCTTGATATGGTAAAAATTTGACTTAGAATATTTATTTGAGATGATATAAATATATATTAACTTGATACTTTTAATTTAAGATTAAATAAATTTGGCTAAATTGCACAAAATTCACCCGTGGTTTCATGAAATTGTACCAAAGCTCCGGTACTTCTAAAACTGCGTCAAACTCCCTCGTGGTTTCAAAACCTTTGCGTCTAACCCCCTCAGCGGTCCTTATTTAACGGTATTTGACATAAATGCGCTCAATCTGCGATAGATTATCAATTTCTAGACCTGTAAAATTACAAATATATTTATTTATTTAATATTTATCTTCAAAAAATAGTAAATATACTCAAAAATAGGTATTTTTCTCAGGTTTTAAGAGTTTATTTTTACTATTTTTTAGGCTAAATATATTAAAAAAATAAATATTTTTGTAATTTTAGGAGTCTAGAAATTGAAATTCTAAAATTTATTCGCAGTTTGAGCGCATTTAGGTCAAATACCGTTAAATAAGGACCGCTGAGGGGATTAGACGCAAAGTTTATGAAACCACGAGAGAGTTTGACGCAGTTTTAGAAGTATGGAGGATTTGGTGCAATTTTATAAGACTACGGGTGAATTTTGTGCAATTTAGCCAATAAATTTTGTATATAATGCTAAAAACAATAAATTACGATTTAATTTGATTTATAAGCATATGGAAAATTATTGTAAATAGTTGGTGAACTAGTCCAACTCGTCATGGAAACAAGCCCCATTCCTCAAATATGTAGAGTTCCTTTAAACGAACATGTGATCAATCTTGTTTCGTATTATCCATATCTATTCCGTAGCAAAAACACAATATATACTAATACTAACACGAGCTTATAGTTTTTTGTTTACTAATACATAATGTTGCGCTAAAAATTCAATATAGCAATGACAAGAAAACTGCAAAAATTATCATGCATGTATGTTCATTTGGTACTCTTATCGGCATCTTTCAGTCATTTGTTGTTCTTCTTGCTCGAGTAAGTGTCGACTATTGTTTAAATCACATTGGATCTGCTGATCATTTTTAACAATTTATTGTTTGTCTTATAGTTTTGTTTGTTAATTTCACTTGTTCATGATTTTTATTCTAATTGTTTATGTTAATGTTAGTCAATACTGTCTAAATCATTTTCATCAATATATTGTTATTATATTATTGCATTTTGATTTCTAAATTTCAGTTATTCGAGAATTTGATTCCAAACTACAACAGTAAAATTTAACAAGAGTGATCATTATTCAAATTACAAATTTTATGCGACAATGCACCGCCAAAACTTCCAAATTCAGACCCTCATTTTAATTGTGTTTTATAAATTTATTGGCTCTGTTTACCTGTAAAATTTTATTTCTTATTTTACTATTTTAATTTATTTTTCTTTTAAAAATATCAAATCAAATAATTAATTTTTATTTATTTTATTACATAAAATTTAATTTTACATTCAAAACATTACATCAATATATATTTATATTTATATAACATGAAATAACTATTTCAATTTAAATTTTTATTTTCTTTCAACTATGCACTCTAAACTTCCTTTAATTTTAGTTATTATTATATTATGTTGTAAGAAATTATTAGGTGAATACGACAAAGTACAAACCTAGTTGGTAGGCAGATATTTTGGGGTTTAGTTTTGTATGTTAGATGCACAGTAAAAATCCAAAGGAAATCTCACAACCAAACACGCAATCTTAAACGTTTTTAACCATTACTCCAACAGTTAATCTATAATGCATAAATTGTTCTTGTAATATATTTGCACATACCGTACAGGTGTAATGGGAGAGCACAGTAATTAATTTGTCATCATGTTTTCTTTCATTGCCTAACTAATTAATTCCATTGGTCCTCTCCTCTTGGATATATATATATATATGCCGCGGCGGTTAGAATAAGCACCAGGCTTATATACATTACATATAAATTTATAGCACATATATAAATAAAAAACTAACGATATATATATATATTAATATTTTATATAGCATATGTTATCTGTTATATTTTAATTTTAATATGCTATTGATAATATTTTTTATGAATTGATTGAGACAATCATCATAGTGTTGAATTTCTTTTCGATAAACACTTAGGGTGTGTTTGTTTGTCTGTTTTAGGTTTCGGATTTGGATTTTTTAATAGTAAAAAGTTGAATTTAAATAGTTGTTTGATGTAATATAAATAGAAATTGACGTGATGTTTTGAATATAAAATAAATCTGTAGTATAATAAAAAAAGAAAAGTAATTATTTGATGTGATATTTTTAGAGAGAAAAAAATCATTTGAATGGTAAAATCCACAAAAGAACACGACCTTATAGTGTATTTGTTGTGGGTTTGGGATTTTGGATATGGATTTTTGAATAGTAAAAAGTTGAATTTGAATAGTTATTTAATGTGATATAAATAGGTGTTTGATGTGATATTTTGAACGTAAAATAAATTTATAGTATAATATAAAAATAAAAAAATAATTGTTTGATTTGATATTTTTGAAAAAAAAAAAAAATCTCAATAGTAAAAACCTCTGCTAAAATCTACAAAACAACACAACAGATTAAATCATGAATTCTCAAATATAAAATGACAGTGTAGCCTCGAACATTTAAGATCATTTCATCAACCTTCTAAGCATGGAAATTTTAACACTACCTTCCATAACCCCCAAAACCAATCTATTACATGCACGGATACCGCCTGCAGGACCACCGGCCACCTCAAGACATCCTCGAACTATCTCCGCCACTGCCACTAAAGCGCCGCCGCACCACCAAATTACCCACTCAATGCCACCGGAGAAAGTTGAAGTGTTCAAGTCACTCGAACCGTGGGCTACTGAGACATTGCTTCCATTTCTTAAACCAGTCGAAAAAAGTTGGCAACCTTGTGACTTCTTGCCTGATCCTACATTGCCCGACAGTGAATTTACGGACAAAGTTTGGTCCCTACGCAAATCTTCAAGAAAATTACCTGATGAGTTGTTTATCGTGCTGGTCGGAGACATGGTTACTGAGGAGGCCGTGCCTACATATCAGAGTTTGATCAATTCTTGTGATGCGATTAAAGATGACACGGGCTGCAGCCGAAGCCCGTGGGCTATTTGGACCCGTGGGTGGAGCGCCGAGGAGAATAGGCACGGCGATTTGCTTAGAAATTATCTCTATCTCTCGGGCCGGGTCGATATGAGGATGATTGACAAAACAGTGCAATATTTGATTGGTGCTGGAATGGTAATTAATGTTTATTTCATGTTTTGGTTTAGTTACAAAGTTTAAGGTTGTTTTTCTTTAACAAGAAACCTAATAACCATATTTATTATAAATAAACCTAGGAACAATTCCGCGAGTAAGATTGTAGGTCGAGGAATTGGTAACCTAGCTAATTGTTTTTCATATGATATTTTGAGATACTTATTTATAAATAGTAAAAAATCATAATAAAACGCACAATCAAACAAACAAAAATCTATAACTTAATATATTTCATTACTTTAATATATGTACGAATGTACAGAGAATTCTTATTATGAAAGTAGGAACAAATTTACGGTTTAAAAATAATCAAATACAATAATATTCAGATAAGAAAAAAGAACCTATGGATAATTTATGCCATCAAATTGTTAACGTACATTTGAAGAAATAAACTTTTTGCAGAACTCTGGTGTGGAAAATAACCCTTATTTAGGATATGTTTACGTCGCCTTTCAAGAGCGCGCCACATTCTTGTCTCATGCAAACACGGGGAGGCTTGCGCGTGATCAAGGGAATCCACTTCTTGCAAACATATGCGGGATCATAGCCGCGGATGAAAAGCGCCATGAAAGTGCATACATAAAAATGGTCGAGAAACTATTGGAGGTTGACCCGAACGATACCATGCTAGCTATAGGTAACATGATGAGGAAGCGAGTGGTAATGCCAGGTCACCTCATGCATGATGGGCGGGATCCCCATCTTTACGACCACTTTGCATCTGTTGCTCGTCGAGTTGGTGTTTTTTCACCTAATGATTATGTCGATATCGTGGAATTCTTGGTTGGGCGATGGCATCTTGAGAAGGTTGAAGGCCTTAAGGGTGATGGGAGGCGCGAGCAAGATTTTGTGTGCCGTCTAGCGCCCATACTACGGAAGATGATGGCCAAGGAGGACAACCGAGCTAAGAATGAAACAAATAGATTAAAATTTAGTTGGATTTTTAACAAAGAAGTCATTGTGTAACTTTAGATTTTTATTATGTAGCTAAACTTCAATGTTACATAAACGACGAAGAAGTATCATCTAGTGATTATTCACACTGCTATTAATTTCTAGCTTTTATAATCTGTGTACTGAACTACTGATTCTAGCAATAATATTTATACATTATATGGATTTGTTTTCGATGTGTTTATTTGGAGGGATTAGATCGGATAATATTTTTTTTATTATTATTGTTGAAGATAATGACTTGTTGACATTAATTGATTAGATATGAGATAAATAAAAATCAGGTATCTAATCTAATCTAATTTAATACATCTAAAATAATCTAATATATATATTTTTTAGAATTGGTGTCGGCTTTACCATTCTCAATTTCAATCACCCAAATTTTGACATTTTTTTTAATTAAATATATATAATTCCATATAGATGGTTATGATTTTTATGAAAAGTTACGTCAATTTAAAATTTTTAAATATTTTAGAAATAATTAATAATTTATTTATGACAATTATAGTAATTTAGGATGACTAGATTAAAAAATAATAATAACAACAATAGTTTTTATGAAAATATTAGAAAATCGACAAATTGTTTTTTATAGAAAATACTATATTACATATATTTACATTATCTTATCTTATCTTATATACATCGGATATATATATATATATACATAGGAAGAGCATGAGGTTAATAATTTTTATTCTTGAAGTTGTAGAGTTTTAAAAATTTCAAATTATACTATTTTTCATATTTTTAAAATTGTTTGTTCAATTGACAGTGTTTCAATCTTTTTTTTTTAAGTGTATTTGAAGTTGAAGGTGGAAAAAAAAAGAATGCAAACTTGGAGAATATCAAGCCGAAGAAAAAGGAGAACAAAAGAAATTTAAAGAAGAAAATATTAAGAAAATATAATATCGAACAAGGAGGAGAACGAAAGAAATTTAAAGAAGAAAACATTGAGAAAATATAATATATACTATTTTATCTTTTTCACCTTCACAAATTTTGTTGGTTTTAGAAATTATATTTTTTTGTCTTTTTATTGATTTATATGAATACCAACATTAATTTTAATTAGAATGCTTGAAATATTCATATTTTATTTTACAATATTTTTATACATTTTTCATTTTTTATTTATAGTAAATAATAAAATAAAAATTCTAGTGATTTTTATTTTCATATTCTACTTTATATATATATATATATTAGATAAGTATAATTATTTTTATATTTTTATAATTGACCTGTCGCGCCCCGTCAATCAAATATTTCATCTATTCTGTTATCACAATTTAATATAATACAGGGAAAAAGATCGTCTCCACAAGGATTGTGTGATTCACTCTTTCGTATTCTAATGGATCTTTATTTGGATCAATGAATCTGACCACCATTGGTGTAGTCAGAGTGTTACGTACGAAATTTAGAATTAGGTTAAAAGCCCAAGGTAAAAAGAAGAATGGGCCTGGCAATAGAGTTGGTTGAACTGGCTGAAGGACACCGTGTGGAAATCAAGGAAAATACAGGACGGAAAGACTTCAGGTCGGAAGGTCTTCAGGTCGGTAGGTCCTCAAGACGGAAGGTCCTCAGGACGGAAAGACTTTTAGGTCGGAAGGTCTTCAGGTCGGTAGGTCCTCAAGACGGAAGGTCCTTAAGACAGAAAGTCCTCAGGACAGAAAGACCTCAGGTCGGAAGGTCTTCAGGTCGGAAGGTCCTCAGGACGGAAAGACCTCAGGTCGGAAGGTCTTCAAGTCGGGAGGTCCTCAAGACGGAAAGTCCTCAGGACGGAAAGACCTCAGGTCGGAAGGTCTTCAGGTCGGGAGGTCCTCAAGACGGAAAGTCATCAGGATGGGAAGTCCGCAGGTCGGGTAAACCGTAAATCGGATAGAAGGCGAAGTCGGGCAGACGCGGAGGTCTGTCAAGAGGAAGGTCGGGCAAGGAAGAGGTACGGACAGACGCGGAGGTCTTCGGTCAAAGACGGAGGGCGGCTGATGCGGAGGTCGGCCCAAGTGAGGTCGGGCGAAGAAACAGGTCGGGCGAAGGACGAAGTCGGGCTAAAAGGGCGGAAGGTCTGTGGTCGGCTCAAAGAGTGAAATATAGGGATAATTTTGGTCTGCTGAGGACGCGTGTCAGCAGGAGAAGGGTTGGAAGACGGTTGGGAAGGAGACGTTGTAACCGTTCGGGTGACGATTTTCGGTACGGTTTCCCAGAGAATATTTAAAGGCTTGGATAATCATTTGGCAAGGCATCTTCAATCAACTTCAACAAAGCAAAGTCAGATTTGGGGATCACCACTTTAAATTTCAGTCTTTTATTTTCCAGTTTATTTTCTGTACCATACAGTGTTTAGAGATTCCTAATCTCAGGCACTAATTAATCAAGTTTAAGGATATTTTCTATATCTTTGAATTTTACTTTATTTTGTTGAAAAATTACATCAACAAATTGGCGACCACAGTGGGAGAAGACAAAATTGCTCATTCCAATTCCGGCGATAATTTCATACGTCTTAGATCCGGCCGTATCATCGGAAGGGTCCATATGGCAGGTTCACAACCTCAATCATCTTCGGCACCGGTGGGAGAATCCGTTCCACCACCTATTGTGCCAAATGCCGGGGAAATCCCACAACCACCAACTGATTGGTGGTCTTATGTTCAACAAATGAACAACCAGCATACTTTGGTTATGCAGAATATGTTGCGTGAGCAACAAACGAACATGTTGCGTGAGCAACAAAGTCTGATGCAGAACATGATAGATCAAGCACTGTCAAGGGTTAGTCTTCAACCTACTCAAACTCCACCAGGAGTATCACCATCCAGATTACAGACAAATTTCGCAGGGCCATCATTCGTGGATAGTACATTCCCAAGTGCCACAAATCCCAACCGAATGGATAGGGGAAAATCTCCTCTGACTTTTCCCAACACTGTTCCACTGGGACCAAGGGTTACCAATCCGCAGCCGAACAATACAAGGGAGGACAGGCCTGAAGGATATATACATGATCCTATTCATATTCCTGTGCAGGATCCGTTCCATGTTCCTGATCATCAACGCTTTCATGTAGATCCTGATGAGATTGCACATATATTAAGGGATCAGTATGGATTAACTCCTCAGATGGCTAACCGCCCTGCATATCAGAGACCTTTCTCAGAAAGGATCATTAATGAACACCCTCTCCCAAGGAATTATCGACCACCCGATTTTCATGCATTCTCAGGGGAGGACGGATCTTCCACCATAGAACATGTTGGTCGGTTCACAGCACAATTAGGAGAAGTTGGCAATAACCCTTTTTATAAGTTGCAGCTGTTTGGTTTATCTCTTACTAGAACAGCGTTTTTGTGGTTTGCAAGTCTGCCTCCTGGACAAATTCAGACGTGGGAAGGACTGGAGATGGCATTTCATGCCAGATTCTTCAATCCTTTACCAACTGTTTCTTTAACGGATTTACTAGAATTGAGACAGTATCCAGAAGAATCTGCTTCACAGTTTATAGAAAGGGTGCGATTGATGAAGGGACGATGTCCTACGGTAATCAGTGAGAAAGAGATGACCAATTTAGTGGTCCGGAATATGCATACTCGCTTAAGAAAGGCACTCACTGCCCTGGATGTTGAGGATTTGGCAAGCCTTGCATCCAAGGCAGGACGTTTAGAGTCTTTGTTCAGAGAGGAAGATCAGCATAACAGGCGTAATAGAGGCCAACATATGGCGAGTATGGGAACAGAAACATGTGACTTTGATTTTAATCAGTCAGAAGAGATGGCAGCCGAAATCCTTTCTGGAAAACCTTATGTATGCCCTAAATTGAAGCCAGTACCAGGATCTGAAGGAAAGGAGCAACCGACGTTTGATAGTTCGAAAGCTGATGAAATCTTTGATATCCTACTGACTGATGGGCAGATCCGTATTCCAAAGGGGCAAAGATTGGCCACTAAAGAAGAAATCAAAGGGAGACCATATTGTAAGTGGCATAATTCTTTCACACACAATACAAGTCAGTGTACTCATTTCAGGAAGGAAATTCAAAAGGCCATCAAGACGGGTCGGCTCAAATACATCACTCTAGGTGTAGACCAGCAACCGTTTCCGAAAGTAACAACGGCAATGGTTAACATCCAACCAAGTTCGGAAACAGGGAAAAGTTCGGCCAATGATGGACAAACAGGGGAACGAACTCAAGCAAGCCCCGGAACAAAAAAAGGAAGTCAGCCAAACAGTGGCCGACCGGAAGAACGACTCAAAGTTGTTGAAAGGCCAGTCGCTGAAAAATGGGACCGTCCAGACGGTTCTTATAATGTGGAGGTGAAGGAAAAGGTTTTAGTGCGTGACCACCCGACCAGAAAAACAGGTTCAGTCGGGAACAATTGGGCTCGAAATAAAAAGCCTTTACCCGTTGATATAGATCCTCGTTTCCCAGGTATGAATCGTACACAGATTCGCAATGCCAAACGCAGGTATGCTGCAAAGTATGGGAAACGAGTTCCTTCACCAAAACAACGAACCGACGAACAAAAAGCAGCCGACCACTTGGCAGGAGATCAGTCCATTAGAGTCTTTACAGAACAAACGACCAACGAGCAGGGAGCAGCCATTCAGTCTCCAATAAGTCGGTCCAGTCGGGTCTGGTCAGGAAAGCAACCGAATGACGGATTAGGCGCTTCCGACTATACCAAAAGAAGTTCGTCGGGACAGGGGAAAGGTAAAGGAATGGCAGATGAAATAATTAGAGGTTTTCGATGCCAACATTGTGAACGGATCAACATCAATTCATCTCCTGAGGAATTCCGCATAGAATCTTTGGCGGTTCAATCTCGGGATAAGACAAATGAAGAAGTTGTAACTACAGAGGAAAGTTCAAGATCTGTTAAATCTCGTCTGGGACCACGAATCCCTTGTCGAATGACAGAGATTAATCAGATGAGAGATGAACCGATGTGGGCGAGTCTGGTAGATGATACTATGGACGAACCTTTATGGGCATTCTTGGCAGATGACGAATTAGAGGAAACAGAGTGGGCAAAGACTTCAGATTCTGAGCCTCAGCCGGAGGCACCTTCGATTGTGTTTCCTCCTATTCCAGAGGGTGCGATCTCCCATTTGAAACCTCTGTAT